TAGAGAACTTTTATTTTTTTATTTTTAAACTTAGAAACCTTTAAGTTATTATTTTCTGATTATATAGATCCCTTGTTCCGTTCTGGTGGGCTGCAATTTGCCCTACGAGCTGGCCCATGATCACTTTGCCGAGGGAACTGTAGGCTGTCGGGATCAGAAGTATTATCGAGTGCTGCACGACATCTTCAAGTCCCCCACCTTCCGTGTGGTGGTAACCGAGGATGCAGATTGTGTGGAGATCTGTTCCACTTTGAGGGTGAGTTTATTAATTAAAGAACCTACCCTTTCTAAAAGACCCAGTTTTCTGGTTTGCAGAATATAATAGCCTTTGCGGCTGGCTGCTCGGATGGAATGGAGTTGAATGAGAACACAAAGGGAGGCATCATTCGGAGGGGATTTTTGGAGATGCTGCAATTCGTGGATGTTTTTTATCCCGGCTGCCGCATGGGAACCTTTTTTGAATCCTGCGGAATATCCGATTTGGTCACTAGTTGCTATGGTAGTTCCTTTTAAAATATTCTTTTATAAATATTTGAAGCATAATCTTTACAAACTTAATCTATTTATTCGATAGCCAATCGCAATCGCAAGTTGGCCGAAGCTTTCGTAAAGACAGGAAAGCCTCTGAGTGAGCTGGAGCACATCCTGATACCAGGACACGAGCCACTGGGTCCAGTGACAGCTGAGTTAGTGCATCACATGCTCAAAAAGAAGGGCTTGGAGGATAAGTTAGTTATCCAATCAATGCACTTTCAACTCCACCCACTTAAACAAACTTTCCTGTTTTTTCCCAGATTTCCTCTCTTCACATGTGTTTACAGGATCTGCACTGGCGACTATCCCCTGCACCGTCTGGTGGAAACTCTGATTAAGGCTCGCGAGGACATGTAAGCAGGATACCCCTTGAATCCCTTGCCGATCTAGTAGTAATAATATTTTTTCCTGCAGCTTTCACCCGCTCCATACTTTCCAGCTCTGAGGGTCTTCGTTTAATGTTTAATGATATTTAAAAATAAAAACCAGAACAACCGAACAACACAGAAATTTGCTTTCCTTAACCGTTTAGCCGACAAAATGGAGCACATGAGTGGGAGGCTTTGTCTCGGAAAATATACAAACGAGTATATATATAAGGTATTTGCCAGCAAATGCGGCAGGACGCTCATCTCGATGTTCAAACAAAGCCCCTCAACATTTGTATTGTGCGTCTTTTCTTGCTGCAGTTCAAGTATTCCTTTTGCGGAGAGAGTGCACTCCATTGAATGCACCAACGCTCCGAGCATAGCAAAAAACAACGGAAATCACTTCAGTCGGGGATCCGGAATCCGGATCCGGATGAATGGAAAAGAAAGCCGCCCGCTTTTCCATCTCATTGTTTTCCATGGCTCAACTATAAATTTATGTGTGTTTCTCGGTGTCCGGTAGTTTTTTCTTTATGCTTTTTTTTTATTTTTCACTATTGTATTGGGGCTGAAGTGCTTTCCAATCGGAATTGAGGAAATGGGAGCAACCACTGGAGGACTTGTGGAGATCTCAACAATAGTTCATTGAACTACACGTCGTCTATAGCTCTATATGTCAGCATAGGTTTGTTAGCCAGTCAACGAAAGAATCTATAACGAAAACATCTATTTCTGAGTAACAGCTCCTGAAAAAATAAATATATATTTTTAAAAAAAGTGAAAAGTGAAAAAATGGTGAAAAATATAAGCGATCTTGTGCTCAATAATCAACATGTATTCCGGACACGTTTTGTGTATTTTTCGATATTAGTGTTTCTATTTATTTTGTTCTTGTTCCTCAACAACGAAACTGCTGATGTTGCCCCATGTCAGGAATCAGGAAGATTCATAAACATGGTAAATGGGATCTATTACTATTTCCGGAAGCATGAAAGGCCCAAGGAGGAGGGTAGCTTTTTGACAAGAACCCTCAATTATCTGATGTGCAAAATATCTTCATAACAAAACACGAGTGGATCGTTATATACATTAGTTCGTTATGAGTTCGTTAAATTTAAAATTTCTATGCACCAAAACTGGATTTATTATTCGTTTTGGAAAGATGAGAGACCAAGCTATCTCAAGGCCCAAAAAATCAGTTGGATCTTTACAAACATTACGTGAAAACTAGTTCGTTGACTGGAAAGTTTTTTTCTGTTTATATTTTTTAGTATCAAGACTCTAAACGTGCTTTTTCTAATACTTTTTCTAATGAATGTGGAATTATTTGAAGTCCTCAGAAAATGAGTTGAAAGTAAGTTTGTGAAATGTCATATTTTTTGTTCGTTTTTTACTTCTCAATACCTAGATTCCCAAGAACACCAAAGTGGAGAAGAAAACCATCAACTATATTGAAAGCGTTCGGAAATGACAACCTATTCATCCCAAAATCATTTGCAACTTTACAAATATTACAAATATTTTAGTCAATTGGCAACATTTTAATCTGTTCACTGCCCATAAAAGTCAATTTTGAAATTGTTATTTAATAAATGATTGCGATTCGTGCGAATTCTTTCAGGCATAATTAAATCAAAGCGACAAAGGGGTGGTAATCAGCGGGAAGGGCGTGTGATTGCATCCGGATTATGTAAACGGATTAGTTTAAATGTCGAAATTGTCCAATTTGATTACATTAGCAAACAACATTTAATCCGTGCCGAATGACAATTATTGTGTGTGATTGCATTTTGTGATATATTTTTTAATGCATTTGCCGTGTGAAACAATATGTAGGTATATAAATTATTTATATATTTTTAAAATGATTGAAACTGGTCGAGGAAAACAGATTAGTAGAAAAAGAAGCCGGAGAGAAATGCACAAACAATATATCAAAAGATTATGGGTATTGATGAAATCATATTCTTCATTATTCCTGCATATATTATTTTTCAGAAACAAAAAAAAAGATATATTAATGCAAGCCACATTACGCACATTCAGTCCAGTGGCTTTTCAATTTATTTGGAATTAATTTTTTTGTGTTGTGTAAAGCATGGCAAATGTTTTCCATTTCAATTGGTTTATTAGTTCATTTCAGATTTTCAGTTTCAGTTTAGGCAAGCATACAGTAAATATTCAGCTTACGTGTTGGATGCGTACAGGTGCAAAATGGGTAGCTAAAAATGAAAATGAAATGGAAATTCCCGAAACGAAATCAAACTGTCCAACTCGGTCTGACTACGGTTAAACAAATATGCCTGGGGTCCCGGGCAAACAGAAAAAGCTATGGAAATTTGCATATCAGGTGGGGGAACCGGAACCCATACCTTGTTGCATTTTTCAGTGGGTTGAAACTTTAGGGGGTATTTCTATGCCACCGCTTTCCTTTGCCGATAATTACACGGTAAATTTGGCAAAATGTGACGTCAAATTGCAAACAAGACGCCAGTGAAGACCCAAAACAAGTTTCACGTATCTAAAAGCAATGTATCTATGCAGCCCCATACCCACACATTTGCCGGCAGAAACACAGATACGATATATACGGGATCCACACAGATACACCTGTACAAAGAGGCAGTAGCGTAAGCACTTCAAAAAATAAATAACAATTTGGTACGTTACACACGTCTCGGCTTATGCAAACGTATCTGCAACTTGTTCTCTCTACCGCTCTCTGCCTGTCTCTTTCTACCCCCCTACGGCCGTCTCTTTCTACTAAAAGAATGCTTCATTTCATGACCACCCACTTGGCAAATAGAATATACACACAGGACATGCACAGGACGACTGACGAGAGAGAGGCCCTCGGAATGGTGTTGTTTGTTGATTCGGTTATTCCTCCTGCCTGTTGTTTGCCCTCAAATTGAACAAATAGCTAAAACAATCCTCGCTAGAATAGATATCACTGGAATGGTATGGGGAAGCACGAAAACGAGGATTTGAAACTATAAAGTATATTATTTAAAAGTATATTATTTTATAAATTAATAAAGTGAATTCAAGGTTTATTATTACCTAGTTCAGTCTTTACATTAAAAACCAATTTATATTAAACAATTTATTAAATACAATTTATAGAGGTTTTAAAATTATGTTTTATTGTATTACAGGGGCATAATTCCTTGCCGATTTAATATACCAATCTGCTTTTCTTATAATATTTTAAAAACCTTTGAGTATTTAAAAAACTTACCATTTTCCTTGTTTTAAGTTTATAAAAAACAAGAAAGGAAGCTAGCTTCGGCCAGCCGAAGCTTATATACCCTTGCAGATCATTCCTATCAATTAACAAATCGCAAAAATGTTCAATTTTCTAATATTTCTCATTAATTTTCCGATCGTTCCTATGGCAGCTATATGATATAGTCGTCCGATTTTGATCAAATTAAAATTGAAATTCGGAAATATTTAAAAAGAGTTATATCCTAGAGTAGAAGATAATACAATAAAAACCAAAGAAGCTAGAATTTATTTCCTATTACTTTTCCATTAATTTTCCGATCGTTCCTATGGCAGCTATATGATATAGTAGTCCGATTTTTGAAATAATTAATTCGAAATTCAGAAATATTTAAAAAATAACATCCCCAAAAGTAGAAGGTAATATTTCAAAAAACACCAAAGCTAGAATTTTTTAAAGTTTTTTTCTTCCGATCCTTCCTATGGGAGCTATAAGATATAGTTGTCCGATCCGGTCGGCTCCGACATATATACTACCTGCAATAGAAAGAAGACTTTTGCGAAAGTTTCGTCCCGATAGCTCAAAAACTGAGAGACTAGTTTGCGTAGAAACAGACAGACGGACAGACGGACAGACGGACAGACGGACAGACAGACAGACGGACAGACGGACGGACAGACGGACAGACGGACATGGCTAGATCGACTCGTCTTGTGATGCTGATCAAGAATATATATACTTTATGGGGTCGGAGACGTCTTCTTCACTGCGTTGCAAACTTCTGACTGAAATCATAATACCCTCTGCAAGGGTATAAAAATTCAAGTTTTGTATCACTTTTCCTTTGTTTTACTTGTCGCTTTTGTTTTTAGCCTTTATTCAGCTAAAACCAAACATAAAACCGTCTGTTTGGTTAAAATTTGCAGTTATAGAATCCAATTTGTTGCGGAAATCGATTGGACTGGATTTTGTTATGGATCAGCTGTCGATCAACCAGAAGGTTTTTATCCGACGTTCGGATGGCCGAGTCCACTTGGCTGGGATTATTAAGCTGGAGGGCGGTGCCAGCAATCTGGTGACGGTGGAATGGCCCGAAGGACATGCGGTGAGGGGCAAGGAGCTGCCCCTGGAACTGGTGGTCCTGATGAATCCCCAGATCTTCGATCCGCCCCGTTGCAGCGGCACACTGGCCTCCATACCGCCGCGTTCGATGAAACAACGCATGGCAGCCGGAAGTTTTCCGCCTCGCCTAGCTACTGCCTCTCCCCGCCAGGTGGCGCCACCCAGTCGAGAGGATGATGTGGTGCTGCAGGTGGAGAGGCTGCGAAAGCAACGGGAACGAAGGCGGGAAACTCAGGCGCAGACTCGCCAGCGGCGGGAACAGGAGAAGAGCGAGGATCCGGGGAATCCCAACTGGGAGGTAGCCAAGATGATACGGCTGCAACGTCTGCAGATGGAGAGTTCAGGGGTCAAGAGTCGTACTACCAATAAGCCCGCCAAGGAACACCAGATTGTGGTTTGTGTGCGAAAGAGACCGCTGAGACGCAAGGAGCTCGCAGATCGCGAACTGGATGTAGTGAGCATTCCTTCAAAGGACATGCTGGTGGTTCACGAACCGCGCAAGCATGTAAATCTGGTCAAGTTCCTGGACAACCACAGTTTCCGCTTCGATTATGTTTTCAACGAGGATTGCTCGAATGCCACGGTATATGAGTTCACCGCACGCCCCTTGATTCGACACATTTTCGAGGGCGGCATGGCCACCTGTTTTGCCTACGGACAGACCGGAAGTGGCAAGACCCACACGATGGGTGGCCAGTTCACCGGAAGTCGGCAGCAGAGCTCTATGGATGGGATCTATGCAATGGCCGCCAGGGATGTGTTTTCCTGCCTAAAATCTCCAGCCTATGATGGTTTGAAACTAAAGGTCTCCTGCAGTTTCTTCGAGATCTATGGCTCCCGGGTCTATGATCTCCTGATGCCGGGCAAACCGCAGCTGAGGGTCCTGGAGGATGGCAAGCAGCAGGTGCAAGTGGTGGGTTTAACTGAGAATCCCGTGAAGAACACTGGCGATGTTTTGGCCCTACTCGAAATGGGCAACAGTGTCCGAACCTCGGGTCAAACCTCTGCGAATTCCAAATCCTCCCGTTCCCATGCTGTCTTCCAAATTGTGCTGAGATCCTCGGCGAATGAGCGTTTGCATGGAAAGTTTTCGCTCATAGATTTGGCGGGAAACGAGAGGGGAGCGGACAACAGTTCAGCGGATCGTTTGACCCGCCTGGAAGGATCGGAAATTAACAAATCGCTGCTGGTTTTGAAAGAATGCATTCGGGCCCTGGGTCGCCAGTCGGGTCATTTGCCCTTCCGGGGCTCCAAACTCACTCAGGTCCTGCGGGACTCCTTTATCGGAGGCAAGAAGGTCAAGACCTGCATGATAGCCATGATCTCGCCCGGCTTGCACTCGGTGGAGCACACTCTGAATACCCTACGATACGCAGATCGAGTGAAGGAATTGACCGCGGAGTGTGTATCGCCAAAGCGACTGATGAAGACAGCTGCCAACTTCGAAAGCAGCTCCATGCCAGATATCGTTGGGCAATCCCAGAGTGAGAGAACCTACCCATCTGCCTCGGCCACTTCGCTGCCAGGAGTGGGAAATCAGTCGAATCCAGAGAAACGAGTTGTTGACACCACCAACGATCTGAATAGGCTCCAGGGAGGGGAGTCTGAAAGGAAATCGCGACGCGCCCAGGAAGCTTCCATAATGCTGGCCAAATCGCTGGCACAATTCAGAGGGTGCAACTTTCCCTAGATCTTAAGAAACAATCCCACCAGCGATTTCTACAACAATTTATTTCTTATCATTAAATAGGTTGTCAAAATTATGTGTACATAATAAAGCGAAAAAAAGTAGAAAATTCAAAAAAATGGTTTGGGAATTTTGCCTTTATTCAAAATTTATATAAAGGAATTGAAATATCTTTTGTGCCATCTAAATGCCAGAATGAACTTATTTAATACCTCTACAATAAGTTATAGGACGTAATTTTTCAAACAAATAATATTTAAAAGCCCAGAAAACTATCTTAGTTTGTGGATTTTTATTCGTTCTCTTATTTTTAAAGTTAAGAACTTGAAGTACTTGCCGTCACAACCAATGATTGTAAATAAAGTAAATGGAAATGCTCATTCCAACCGCTCCAAATATATTTACTTAATAAATTAAATGAAACCTGGCAACGAAAGTCCATTGTAAGAGGACTTCATTTGAATTTCCCCCTGAGTAATCTCCGCCGATTGAGGACTGTTCAGGACACTTATTCGGGCGTCTTAAAGTTGTCACCTCGCTCCCCGTTTTTTTTTCTGGCCCAGTTCATTTGTAGGCCAACCTGCTTCCCGGGCCCATGGTCCTAGCCCACTTCCTTTTCCACTGCCACTTCCATGTCCTTCGAGCGAAACACACGTAGCTGTGGGTTCATGTGTGTGACTACATTTTCCTATGTCGAACTCAAACTAAGCGCAAATATTTTCCGCATAGTTGCGCATTAAGCCAAAAACTTACTTTTCCTCACAGTTTTTCTGTGGCTTTTTTCGTGAGCAGAAACGGAAGTCGGGGAAGTGGCTCCTTTGACAGCTGTCAATATACAATATTGGGGATTATGATGGTGCCAAGACACGTCTTACGACAAAGCTTTGTGTCAATATATTAAATTATGGCTTAGGGCGGCTTTTCCCTAACTCCCCGCCCCGCCCTCTCGCTTAACTTTTTGGCATTTTTTCGCGCAAATCCGCACATAAATGCCTTCGGCCCGAATGAATATGGATGAAGCAGCAAATTTTGTTATTCCTGCGCATTTGACACTAATTGAAATGGGGAGAAAAGTTTCTTATGCGTCTGCATAATGCAAAAGTCAATTATTTAAATTACAGATATTTTTCCAGGATTTATACAAATATTTCATACGCCCTTGTAAATATTCGTAGTTTTTATCTCAATACTTTACTTTGACCTTTTATTCTCCAAGTTTATTTGCAAATGTTTTCTTCAATTATAAACTAATCCCAAAAATTGAATTAAAACTTCTTGTTATTTTGCTCAAACGAATGACACCTTCGAAGGCTTCCATCTTTGCCTGTCAACAATTTAATGTTTGCAATTTAATTTTAAGTCCCTGCTGTCTTTCGCATCGTTAATCAAAAGCGTCTTTATGTCAAGCTATGTAAATAAACAATTACGAGCGTTTATATATGCACACTCACACAGGCGTTCAAACACACACAGCGCACACAAGAGCACAAATTTTGCGGCTTAAAGTTAATTCATTTCGCAAGTGTTTACCTAACCTGGCATTAAAACGGCTAGAAAGACATACGCCCACGGGACGATGGCATGTATGTATTATATATTCCCCAGAACTCCCAACCTCCTTCGCATTCTAATATGCCATTAACATAGCTGCCTAAATAAGTAAGAAAATTCGATAAGCACATAGATTCGCACCCACACACACGCAGTGTGTAAACAAAACCGGAAGGAAGCGCGTGCAGATTCAGCGGAGTGCAAACATTTCAATTTGGGGAAACTGATAAGTCCTATAAATGTAAACTTAACGTTGGCTAAGCAAATTTCCACAGAATCACAAAATCCCCGACTCCCCCGCACAAAAGTACCCAAATAACTCAAACACATCTTCTGATTGAAGGCTTAAAGCCTTTTCGAGCACAGCTTCGCATCCGTCGAGTATCGATTACTTTGTGTCTAATGCACTTTGGCAACTCTGGAGGGCTGCAACTTCATCGCATTCTCCCGATTTCCCCCCTCTTGAAAATCAAACCGAAACTGTGTTGGCCAGGAAAACTTTGCTCGCGGCAGTCGGTAAAGTGAGAGGCACTAATGGCTTCAGCTGGAGGATATTGGAAATTGAGAAATATATCTAAAAGTGGGAATCAATGATAAGAGCTGAATGTAATAAAAATTAAAAAAGAAAATTATCAAGTTGGCTTTGTTTTCATCCATTAACGATGGTAAAACTTCAAAGATAATTGAAGAAGAAGTTCAAGAATCATTTCTGATGAGATCGTGATGACTTTCCAAATAATATATTATCACCATGTTTGATTTCTAATTTTGTAATAAAGCAGCCAAAAAATTGCCTGATTAAGTAACTCTAAAAAAAAAATTATTAAGAACTTGGGATTAAAATGTTAATTCATAAAATAGTGCTACTGGAATTTTTCAATGCTTACATTTTCATTTATTTGTAATTAAAGTACTTTTAATTTATAATTTAAACAAGTTGCCTTTATAAAAGCAATTCTCATAATTTCAAAAAACTTCCTCTACCCCAAAAGTTTCTATATTCAGCCAATAGGAATTCCCGACAGTTGGACAAGCAAATACAAGTAAACTTTGGCCAAGCACATATACACATATGTCGAACCTGAAAAAAGCAGCTTGAATGGCAAGTTTAAACCATTTCTCCCCCATCCCCGGTAGTCCATTCCTCATTTTGCTGAAGTCATGGCAAAATGTTTACAATGATAATTGTCCTGCTCGGTCCTTGTCGTTGTCATTGTCCAGCCAATAAATTCTTGGCAGCTGCATGTTTGTTAAGCTCAGGGCTCAATCCTTTCGCCCCCCTTTCGCTACCCCCTTTGCCATTTCACCATCTCACCACGACCATGTTGTTTGTCCTGTTTTGGCCACTGGCTATTGGTCGAGTGGGTGGCTTTGGGTTCTGTCCCTGTTTTGTTTGAGTCGATTCCTGTCCCTCATGTCGACGCTTCAACCGCTTGGCCCTCAGCTCGGGGCGAATTATTTATGTCTCGCATTACAATTGCAGTTAAAACAATTGTCCGGGAAATGAGATTTTCATCTTTTGCAAGTGCGAGTGCCAGTGCATTCCCAAGCGGAAATTGATGGCTCAAATGAATTTCCGAGCTTAGTAACTTGAATTTCCATAACTCGGCAGCCGCTGTCTTAAAGGCCTATTGCAATAATTGAAATGTCCCTATTTAAGCTCCCTTTCCTTGGTGTATATATAGTGTGATATATCCTTTAATCCGGGCCAGTCCTGCCTGCCAGTTGAGAAGTCCAGTTGTAAAGGAGGGCGTGGCCCCTTGTCTTAACCCAAATTGTTCGCCATTAAGCCGTCAAGTGCTACACACAAAAAAAAAACTTGGTAAAATCAACTGTAATAATTGTCAAACAGGCCCCAACCAGCAAAATTGTCAATTCTACTAAGTAAATAGTCATTTCACAACAACAAAATACACACAATTAGCAAAGACATAAACCCAAAGCAAAAACAAAATACACGTAACTATTTTAATAGTTACGTAACTATCTTTGTTGGTCAATTTTACCAGGCAATTTTTTTTGTGTGTAAACATGCAAGCGATTCTCAATCCCGCCTCGCCTTTTCTCTCCGTATCTGTCTCTTACTTTCTCACCAACTTTCTCTGTCTCTTTCCTTTTCTCTGTATTTCGCGTGCCGCTATATGGAAAACGTTGCAGAGAAATGTGCCAAGATAAAAACCAACTTTGCATATTTACTAACCCTGTCAGATGTCGGTGGAAGTCTATTAAAAATGGTGTGAGATCAACACGGAAATGTGCTGGGGATGTTTGATTTCAATTTTCACTGGGTCATTATTTAGCACGACTTCATTTGGCTTAAGTAACTTTTAAACAACTATTTATTTGGGATATAAAAGGCAGTTGGAAAAAGTCTGGGTGTTGGTAATGCCCGCTTGATACCTGTTTAAAGTTTAACTAACTATCTTAATTTACTTTTTATAGCAAATCTGTAAGCATGAATATTTAGATTTAATAGAAAAATTCACGACATCTTTTTTAATTTAAGAAATTTTTGAAATCGGACCATTAAATAAAAAGTTATGAGCAAATAATGGAATTCAAGCAGTACAGGCAGTTCCTACACACAAAAAAAAAACTTGGTAAAATCAACTGTAATAATTGTCAAACAGGCCCCAACCAGCAAAATTGTCAATTCTACTAAGTAAATTGTCATTTCACAACAACAAAATACACACAATTAGCAAAGACACAAACCCAAAGCAAAAACAAAATACACGTAACTATTTTAATAGTTACGTAACTATCTTTGTTGGTCAATTTTACCAAGCAAATTTTTTTGTGTGTATGCTGCACTTCATCCCCCTCGCACTTCCTTTAGTTGAGTAACAGGTATCTAATATCTAGACTATAGGTTCTTCTTTATAAAGACGCACTTATTTGTTTCACAACATTATCTTTTCTTGTGCTAAAAAAATCCCACTCAGTGTGTTTGCCCCGAATTTAAGCGAAAAAACCCCAAGGAACTTAACAAATACGAATTCTGCTGCACTGGAATGTCCTTGCAAATGTGCATGTGTTGTAGTGAGTGTGTTTATGTGGCAGTGTTTGTTTGTCACGCTAACCTCAAAATTGCCGCCAACAATTTAACAAGCAGACGTTGTGTGAAAAATATGTCAAACAGAAGGCGAAGGCGGTGACATTTTGTTCGCTTTCTTTTTTCTGCATACGAAAATTGCGTTAGCCCGCACACAAACATGCACACACATATTCCCCACAGTCGAGTTACCAACATAAAAAGTGGCAACACACACACACAGGCTCACAACGAGCAGGACAAACAGTTTGCCAGCCACGTTTTGAATTATGCATGTCTGCCACACATGACTCGAATTTTCCCACCCGCTTTCGGCCCACCAAAGCTCCTCTAACACTCCTTCTAACGCGAAGAAAAATATACATATTCACAAAAAATGAAAATGACAAAAAGAAGCCAACGGCC